GCTGCATGTGGCTGAGCATGGAGAGGCCTTAGTGCAGGAGGCCTATGAGGAGGCGACCCTGGGGAGCTCTGAGCTGCAGCAGATCACCATTCCTTTCGGGAGCACAGCGGAGTACAGCATCATCACGCCCGTCAGCGAGGAGATCCAGGCCCCAGAGACTCTCTACAGGTCAGTGCCAGCTCTGCTTGGAGGTGCCAAACCAGCTGCCCCTGCCCTGGGTCCCAGAAATCCAATTCTGCTCCAGTTCCGAGTATGTTAGTCATGTGGCTGTCTAGGGCTGCCTTCCCTGGAGGAGAGTGCCCCTGCTCTCACCCTGCCGCCATGGTCAGGGCAGCTCTGTGCTCGAGGGGAGTGGGAGAGCCCTGGGGACTCCTCTGACCCTGCCCTCTGCCCCTGTAGCGAGGAGGAGAGCCCGACAGAGCCCACCCATACAGTCGTGGTGAGCGACGCCATGATGAATGAAGCGCTGAAAGAGCACAGCGGTCACTACATCATGTCGGCCAGTTTCCCAGGGAGCCAGCTCCATCACGTCGAGGTAAGAGGGGCCCGGACTCCTGTGTCCTGGAGGGGTGTAAGCCAGTGTAACTCTCAGGGTCTTCTCTCCCAGCAGCTCAGTGGGGACCCTGCCCTCTCACCAGGGGAAGGCCAGGAGGCCCAGGCCTCTGGCGGCAAGTGGCCGATGCTGCAGTGCCTGGCCAGGCAGCTCCGAAAGAACTCTGCCTTCTCCCCAGCACCAGAAGGGCAGGCAATCCCGTCCGCAAAGGTCAAATGGCCCGCGCTGCAGGGTGTGGCCAAGAAGCTGTCATGCAAGATTTCTACAACTAAGAAGCTGTCGTGCAAGATTTCCACAACTAAGAAATTCTCGTGCAAGATTTGCACGGCCATGTTCACAGGGAGAGCAGAGATGGAGAGTCACAAGAGGGCACACGTAGGGCCCAACACCTTCAAGTGTCCAGACTGCCCGTTCACAGCAGCTGTGTGGCTGGAGGTCCGGGTAGGTTGGCCGGGCACCCAGGGGCTGGGTGGGAGCCTGGCATTGGCAGCTGGCTGATCTCGCGCTCTCTCCTGCCTCCAGAGTCACATGGCACAGCACGCCAACCTCCGACCCCACAAGTGCTCCCACTGCAGCTTTGCCTCCAAGAACAAGAAGGACCTGCGCAGACACATGCTGACGCACACCAATGAGAAGCCCTTTGCCTGCCAGATCTGCGGGCAGAGGTGGGTGAAACCAGCCAGGGCCCTGCAGTGCCTCCAGGAGGGCTCTGCAGCAGCCACCTGCCCCTGGACGTGCCCCTCCCACTGGGCCTCTGGTCTCTGAATGAGCCTCCTGTTCTCAGCCTGGCCCCTCCTCCTCATTTCCAGCTCCCAGATCTTGGCAATGCAGAGCTGGAAATGAGGAGCCAGGCCTCCTGCCCTGTGCCTTCCAGGGAAGGGAGGGTGTGAGAGGCCCCGCTGCCCTCAGCAAGCTCCAACCCCCACTCTCGCTGTCCCTGTAGATTTAACCGGAACGGGCATCTCAAGTTCCACATGCAGCGTCTGCACTGCGCTGAGGGGAAGCGGCTGGGGCAGCCGGCAGCCACCACCCAGCAGACCATCATCCTGAACAGCGATGAGGAAGCGCTAGCCACTCTGCAGAGTAAGCTACCTGCTTTCCCTGACGGTGCAGGGGTCTGTGCCCAGGGTTGCCTGCTGTCAGACCATCTTGGGCTGAGCACTTGACGCAGTTCGTAAGCTAAGCGGGATTGGACCTGATCAAGTCTTGGATGGGAGATCCCCTAGTGGAGCTGCAGGATGCTCCAGGGAGCAGGCGGGAGCGCTCTCCCCTTGCAGCCAGTGCTGACCCGAGTGTCCCAGCACGGTGCTACGGGACAGGGGGCTGCAGAGCAGTGTGGATGACTCAGTGGGGGGTGCTCTCCCTTTGCAGCCGGTGCAGTGCTACGGGGTGATGACAGCTTTCTTAGGGTCAGTTCTGGGGGGACAGGGGCACCCTGCTGCAGCTACTGCTGCAAAGGCCCTCTTGTGAATGACCGTCTCTGCTGCCTTTATTGTACGTGTCAAGCTCTTAGCCCCAGCATCCGTGTTACCTTCCAGTTTGGGCCGTTCCATTTGACCTCTTTTGCTCTGGCTCCTGAGCAAGTGGGGTGAATGGCTTGTCCCCGGCTTGCCTGCTGGTGTGCCTCCAGGGCTTGGGGGTAAGGGCGGGGGTAGGGGTGGGGGTGTGGGATGGGGGATAGTGGTGGCTGAGGATGGCTTTCTCTCCCTTCCCAGCGGCTTTGCAGTCTGGCCAGGCAGTGCTGGCTCCTGAACGGCTGCAGCAGGCTCTGGGGCAGGAGCACATCATTGTAGCACAGGAGCAGAGCATCACAAGCCAGGTGAGTCAGCCAGAGGCCTTGGCCAGCCACACAACCCACCCACAAGCAGTGGCCTGTCCCCACTGCTCAGAGGGGCTGGGCTCAGCTACTGCTGTCTTGCAGGAGGAGGCCACGTACATCCAGGAGATCACAACGGCTGACGGGCAGACGGTGCAGCACTTGGTGACCGCCGATAACCAGGTATGGGGGGAGCTGCTGTCCGTGGGGTGCTGCGGAGAGCAAGCGAAAGTGCTGCAGGGGCTGATGGGAGTCTCCTGCAGGGAGCCCCGGGGGAGGGCTGGTGGGGACTTGACTGGGGTGAAAGGAACCAAAGGGAAACTGCAGCTGAATCTCAGCATGGAGGTGACCCAGGCTGAGCCAAGTTCCCCAGGGAGCCTCAGTGCTTGAGCATCTCAATGCCAGGCTGGAGAGACGCTGGAAAGGTGCAGCAGGGCTGCGTCCCGTGCGGCCTGCGGCAATGCTGTGGGCTGAGTCTCTCTTTCCCCTGTAGGTTCAGTACATCATTGCCCAGGATGGCGTGCAGCACCTGCTCCCCCACGAGTACGTTGTTGTCCCCGAGGGGCATCACATCCAGGTAAGGGCCCTGGCCCTGGCCAGCGGCCAGATCGTGTCCTAGGTTGTGGAGTCCAGGATGGAGCTGGGGGCGGGGGTCCCTGTTCCCTTGAAATCCAGGCAGGTCTCCTCCATGTGGACGAAGTGACGAGCTCCCCTCCCCTTCCCTTCCCAGCTCTCACTCCAGCTCTTGTCGTTCAGGTACAAGACGGCCAGATCACCCACATCCAGTATGAACAGGGCAGCCAGTTCCTCCAGGAGCCCCAGGTAATGGAGCAGCCACGGGCTGGGCCAGGCCTGGGGGGGCGCATGCATCCGGAGGGGGAGGGGATCCCACCGCCTGGGCATTAATAGCTCAGCAAGAAGGTGAATAGCAGGTTAAACAGCTGCTGCTTTAGCCAGCTGTGTGGGGGGCCTGCGCGGCCTCTGAGGGCTCTGCTGCAGCAGGGCAGGGTGAGCCCCAGTCTGATCCGTCTCCCTCTCTCTGTTCCCCAGCAGATCCAGTACATGCCGGTGTCCCCAGAGCAGCAGCTGGTTACCCAGGCTCAGCTGGAAGCCGCGGCACACTCGGCAGTGACAGGTACAGAGTCAGGGCTCCCTGCTCTGCGCCGAGCCCAGCCCGTGGGTTCTGGCATGCTGGGTCACAGGAAAGGCTTTGCCCGGAATCCATGGCAGCAGATTCAGGGGGCGTCCTAGCCCCAGATGGTGGTAACATAGTTGTTCCATCTCCCGGCTGCTTTGACACGAGCTAGTGGTCTCAGTCACAGGCTGCCTTCAAAAGCCGCCCACCCCGGTTGCTAGCAGGCTTGGCAGGGCGGCCGTGGTTACCCAGCTGCCCTCTTGGCAGGGCACAGGGAGCGTGCACCCTCACTTAGGAGAACAAGCCAGGTTTGCTGCTGCGAGGGGCTGTGCCCGGGAAGTGCTGATTCCCCGCGCTCAGTGTTGTGGGTGCCCCAGGCAGAGCCCAGTCTCCTGCTGCTATCCCCTCTCTTTGCTGGATGGAAACGCCGTGGGCGGACCCGGCTTGGCAGGTGGTGGTGGCAGCCCAAGGCCAGCACATCTCCTGGAGCCACAGAGCATTGTAAAAATGCTTTCTCCCCCCCTCTCCCATGCAGGCTTTGGCCACCCCACCTGTCCTGTGCACCTGGCAAAGCAGTGGAGAGCGAGTGGATGAGGGGCCCCCAGCAAGGACCCCCTTCCCCGCCTCCTGGGCTGGGGCAGCAGCAGGGCTGATGCTGCTCTCCCTCCCTCCCTCTCTCTGCAGCAGTGGCCGATGCGGCCATGGCCCAAGCCCAGGGCGTGTTCACCACGGAGGCAACGGCTGAGCAGATCCAGCAGCTGCAGCAGGGAATCCATTACGATGTCATCACGCTGGCGGATTAAGGGCTGGGCAGATGCCGTGGGCCAGCCCTCCACTAGCCCGGCCGAAAGGGGCTCCAGGGGCTCCAGGGGCCAAGTCTGAGCACCCTCTGGCTGGGGTTTGCTATTGACTTGCCGTGTGCAGCCGGAGCGCCGGGTCCTGCCCCTCTGCAGCGGCTGCTGTCTCCTACGCAAGGGCTGCTCCCCTGGCAGGCATGTGGCTGAGGGGCTGGGGCGGTGGCGGCAGGGCCCTGCCTGGGGCTGGTCTCTGTCGCACCTGACAGTCCCAGCTCCTTTTTCCTGCGTCGTGTCCTCGAGTTGCGCCTGCCTGCCATACAAGGTCCTGGCGTGAGATGGACGCTGACCCCAGCCGTGCCGTGAAAAGGCTGGGCAAGGCCTCCTGCTGTTCAGTTGTAGCAGCCGTGCTGCCTGCCCTTGGTGTAGGGCTCACAAGCCTGGCCCTCAGAGTGCCTCCCCCTTCGGCTTTCCTGGCCTGCAGGCAGGCAGGCATTTCTCAGACTCGGCACGGGGAGAGCAGAACGACCTGGAGCGGGAACCACAACGGAAGAGGCAATAGCTGAGATGTTCTATTTTTCTTCCAAACAGAGACGGACTCTGCTGGAGAGAGCTGGTTTGTACAGGGTGGGGAAGGGGGAGCAATGCGAACCATCTGAAGCTTTGAATCTGCTTATGAATAAAAAGGCATCGGAGTCGGTCTGGCCCACGTGTGGAGTGGGGCTTGGAGCCGCAGGGGCCCTGCCCCGACATGCAGCGCCCTGGGTCTGGCACAGCCTCCCTCCTTGCACCCTGGGCCTGTGTGTGTCTGTCGGGGGGGCTAGTAAAGTGCTTCCCTTGCAGCCACCACCTGACACCATCTGCCGGGCAAGGAGGGGCCCCGTGGGCCTGTGTTGGAATTCCGGAGGTGAGCCCCCCACTGGCTTGAGCTGCTTGGGGACGGGGGCAAGGGGCAGAGCCTCCCACGGTGGGTACGAGTCCTGCGGGCTGTGGCAGGCAAAGCTCACGCCCATGATCGGCTGCCCCCAGCCGCAGTGACCTTGACTGTAGAGCGCTGAGCTGAGCTGCCCTAGCCGGCCGCTGGTGCTGTGTAGTGATGAAATTAATGGAGTGGTAAATAGCCTAAATCCCCTGTAACTCAGACCCAAACTACACAGGCTGCCCCTCCCTGAGCGGATTGTGGGGAAGTATTTACATGTGATTAGAACAGCTCATCTCGGAGTCTTAGTTCTGTCCGTTCGCATTACGCTGATTATCCACAGAGGGGACTCGAGTGTGAGCCCTACCCCGGCCTCCAGCCCTGCCCCGGCCTCCAGCCCTGCCTGCTCCTGCAGCTGAACCGCACAAGGCGGCCACCTCCCCGCGTGTGCAAAGATGAGCTGCTGCCGCATAAGAGTTGGGGCAAGTGGGGAGCTGTATCTCCCACCCCAGGAACGGTGCTGGTTCAGTGTGAGCCCAGGTGTTCCAGGGCCAAGGGGCAGAGAGCAGGGCCCCTGCTCTCCTCTGGCTGCCCCTGGGTGACGTATTCTGGCTGAGCAGGGTGTGGGCTTGCAGCCGTCCCAGTTACTCCTCCCTAGCTTGGCCAAGCCTCGTGTGGCGCTGCGAGGGGGAGCTAAGCCAGGACACGCGTTTGGGTTTGAAGATGTTTGTGAGGCAGTTGTGCTCCTCAGCCCAACCGGCCTGGAGATGACAGCATGGCTGTGCTCTCGCCTCCTCATCTCACACCAGCTCCAGGCTCTGGACTGGCTATTTCCTCACTGCCCACCTCAGCTGTGCAGTCTGGACAATGGCCCTAAGGCCCTGCAGTGAGAGGGGCTGGGCTCGCTCCAGTGCTTTGAAGAGGGACAGGCTGTGATGTGCTGGGATACCCGACAGGAGTGCTGCTGGGTCATAGGATAGACCCCATAGGCTCCCAGGCTGCAGGAGGTCTCAGACCCCACCACCCCCTTCCTGCTCCAGCCAGGAGCACCCTCCTCCCTGCCTGTGGAGCTCCGCAGCACCTCTGACCCATCTGGCTTTAGTCGGCAGAGAAAACCCCACTCTCTGGGCTGGGATCCTGCTCCTTGCGTCAAGCCAAGGAAGGGGTGCACCCTCCCCAGCAAGGAGCCCACTCAGCTGCCCCCGCCCTTCCCTGGGGCTGGGCAAGAGACTTTGTTCCAGCACATACCAGGCCATGAGCTCACCCCACTGTCCTCATGCCAGCCCGGCAGTGCCTGGCCTACAGCCGGGACCAAAGGCACCAGCAGGGCCCTGGCCTGCCCTTCCAGGAGCGAGCGGCCTGCGGCAGGGACCTCGGCCAGGCTTCCCCTCGCCCTGCCGGCCGGAGGAGTTTTCCCTTGGCCTTGGGGGGGCCGGTGCCTGAGCCCCTGCCCGGCCGGCCCCCGCCCTGGACGGACCAGCCCCGTGCCTGGCTCCTGCCGCCAGAGGCTCCCAGCCCCCCCTCGCAGCCTGCCCTGCAGCCCCCCCACCCGCAGGCCACCCCCTCCCAACCGCCCCTAGGCTGCGCCTGCCCGGTTCTCGCGCTCTGGGCGCAGCCTGTCCCGCGCGTAGCGCTCCGGGAGCGTCCCGGGGCTGCCCCCAGCTCGGCCGGTCGCTGGGGGCTCTGGGAGCCGGGCCGGGACGAACCCGGCGGCTGTACTCGAGCGGAGCTCGGGGCTCGATACCCGGGACGGGCCGCTCCCCTCCGGGGCGCAGCGTCCTGGGCTGGCCCGTGCGCTCCGGGCCCCGCCCGCCGCAGTGCCCGGCCCAGCGCGGAGCGCAGCTGCTGGAGCAGCGCCGGCCGCCGGCCCCGCTCGGGGACCCCGCTCCCAGGTGAGCCAGGGCTGGGGGGGCTCGGGGAGGATGGTCCCTAAGGAGTCCCCACAGCCTCGGGCACCGCGGGAGCTTCCAGCCCTGCCTTGGCTGCCTCCTGCCCGGCGCCGGGGGACCCGGACCCCAAATCCAGCTCGGAACCAGCTTTTCAGCCGCCGCCCCAGGGAGAGACTCGCAACTCCCCCAGGATCGGTGCTTGGCCCTCGGGGAGACCCCCCCGGTCAGTGCTTGGCCCCCGGGGAGACCCTGGGCCCATTGGAGACACCCCCCACCCCAGCATTAGTGTTCAGCCTGGGGCTCAAGCCATGATGAGAAACTGGAGGGAGTTCAGAGAAGAGCAAAAGGGCCGAGGTTCGGGGCTGAGACGAGAGCCTGGGCCCCCCACGTGGGTGGGCGAAGCCTGGGCTCCAGGGGCACCCGGGTAGGTGCCAAGGGAGCTGGAGCGGAGATGAGAGCAGACTATGGGGCTGTTGCCAGGAGCCATGGGCTGTGAGGGGGCGCTTGGCCTGTGCAGGCCCCCCCAGGATGGTGTCACCGCTGAGCGTGGGCCGTGCGCTCGGAGCAGCACAGGCCGAACGTGCTGCCAGACGGGACCGGGCTTCTCTTTGTGCTTGGCCCAGGGTGCTCTGGCCCTAAGACGGAATGGGCGAGAGGCCTGTCGTGGCTTGGGGCCATGCTGAAGTAGTTGGGAGGGCTGGCACTAGGAGGGGCAAGGGGGGGTGCCATGCTAGCTGTGCTGTGTGCACAGGGTCTGGGGCGGTAACGCCTGTGCTAGGCAGGGTCTGGGCCTCCACCAACTCGGGGAAAAGGGGGTGGCAGTGATGGCGTTTGTCCTTCCCCTAGGAGAGCTGTGGAGATCAGCGCCTGGAGACACCACCGCGCTTGTTGCTCATTAGCCTGGGTGACCTTCCCGTTCCCTGTCCCTGGCCAGAGCTAAGCGGGTTTGTTACATGTTTAATATCCTGAGAGTGTGATTAGTCGGTGTTTAATTACGGATCCAACCTGGGAGATAATCCACGTCTGAGCAGGGAGTCGCGCCGGGCCAGTTCCCATCTGGGCGCTCCTGACTCCCAGGCCCCTGCCCTAAAACAGCTGCTCACAGCTGCCTGAACCAAGCCTCTCCTGGCTGCTCCCCAAATGCTCAGCTCCAGCCCCCCTTGCCTGGGCTCCTTTGTCCCGTTTCTCCTGGGACAGTTCCCAATGGAAGCCGGAACGTCTCCGCCTCCTCCCTCAGCACATCCTGCCAGAAACGGCCCAGGCTGGGGGGGCTGCAGCCAGGGCAGGATATCGGGGTTTGTGTTCCTCTCTTATTTGTTCCTTTGCCTCTCCCCTGTGCTAACAGGAAGGGCGTTTGGGCTGAGCAACCGATTCGTTAACCATTTATCAGCCCCAGCCAGAGTGTTTCCAGCCCTCGCTCTGACCACAGGCTTCTGAGAGAGATGCCGGCTGCCTCTCATGGACTGTGGGCGATTTCAGCCAGCAGTGGCCCCTTCCACACCCCTGGGTGCGTGGGGGCCAGCCGGCTCACTCTGGGGCTCCAGGCAGGCCCTTCTGGCCTGGATCCAGAGCTGGCAAAGGTGCTGTCCCCCGCCTGGTCCTGTGCAGGGCTGTGTCGGGAAGGGGAACCAGGTGGCCTCTTTCATTTGGATTCCAACGTCTGAGTGGATGAGGTCGCACACAGGGAGCTGCTAGAGAGGCTCATTGTCGTGCCGGGTGAGAGTAGAGCAGGGAGGAATGGTCACAGTTCTCACCATGTCACAAGGTCAGAGCCGGCTGCAAGGTGCCGTGCTGGGACCTGTGTTGTTTAATCTCGTTATTAGTGATGTGAGCAGGAGCTGGGCAGGGTGCGGGCAAACGCAGCAGCTGACGGGAGTTCGTCTCACTTCAGCTGCCAGCTGGTGGGTGCTGGTCAGTGGGTGTGCTGAAGTTAGACAAGTGAGGAAATACAGCGTAATTTTTCAAAAGTGAGGTCGTTTCCCATCGGAACGACTTCCCGGGGCCGGGGTGGGTTCCCATCACTGACTCCTTTAAATCCAGACGGGAGGTTTCTCCAGGAGCTCTGCTCTAGGAATGGTTTGGGGGCAGGTCTCTGGCCCGGTCAGACTGGATGATCACAGTGGTCCCTTCTGGCTTTGGAATCCAGGAAGATGGTGGCAAATGGGAGTCAGTGGTGATAAACACGAAGTGATGCACATTGGAGGGGACAATTTGACACCTCCCGGGGTCTAGATTAACGGCGAGGGACGGGAGCTGGGTGCCACTGCAGACAGCAATGGAGACCTCTGCTCAATGCGCAGCTGCAGGCAGAAGAGCTGCACAAGGACCGGGGTGGAGAATAACACGGGAATGTTCCAGCGCCTTTGCATCAATCGATGGTGCGGATCCTGTGGGCAGCGCTGGGCCCCCGTCGCACGCAGCTGGGGGGTCAGGGAAGGGTGACAAGAATGAGCAAGGCTGGGAAAACTGAGCCACAGCACAAGCACCAACGAACGGCCAGTGAAACCGACAGGTGGGGAATTCAAAACTCATAAAGGAAATTCTTATTCACGCATTGTGTAATTAGCCTGTGGAACTCGCTGCCACAGGATGTCACTGAGCCAAGAACTTGGCTAGATTCCAAGGGGGATGGAGATCCCGAATCTCCAGAGATGTCACAGTTAATGCTGACAAAATGGTTGGAAGAGTTCCAGGGTCTGAACTGATCTTTGACTATTGGAGATCAGGGTGAGACCTTTGTGGGGGTCCGTTGACTGACTGTGGGATCCTTGTGCCTCCCTCTGACATGTCTGGGGCTGGCACTGTTGGAGACTGGGGCAATGGGCCTCGGGGCTGAGCCTGTCTGGCCGTTCCTGTGTCCCTCCTGGTGCCCTTTCAATGTAAACCTGGCAGGTGCCAGTTCAGTGTAAGAGTGGGGCTCGTCTCTGGGAGCCGCGGCTTCACCCAAACTGGCCCGGCCCCGCTGGGGGTAGAATCTGGGTGACAGCTCTCTGGTGTGCACTGGCTGAGCCGACCCCCTCGGGCTGGCATGGCAGGTGCTCCCGGAGGACACTGCCTTGGGGGCTGTTGAGCAGGGGGGAGTGGCTGGGCCCCCGGACCTCTTCCAGCCCCAGGGCCCCTGTACAAGGGATCACTTTAAACCCAGTGCCCCCTCCCCTCCCCCCCGGGTAGTTGTCAGCTGGCAAGTCTGGGTGGAGCCCTGGGAGGGGGTTCCTGTCTGGATGTCTGCTCTGGGGAGATAGGGCTGTGTGTGATCCCAGCCAGGCCAGCCCTCCTCTCCAGCACTCTCCCCAGAGAAACCCCCGCAGCCAGGGGGTCCTGGCAGCTCCCTTCTGCCCTGGGGAGCAGCTTCCAGCAGGTACCAACACGCTGAACTAGTGACCTCGAACTGCCGTGGGCTGCTGGGCACTCCAGCCTTCCTGCCTGGGGGGT